AGCAGGAAGGGTCTAGATCATGAAAGTGTCTGCTTTTCCTACAATGTCTAGAAAAGCAAAACCCATTTAGAAACGCAATAGCAGGGTCTTCCCTCACCCAAACAGGCAGAGTATGTGCTTTCTTTTGGAGAGGTTTTTGCTATAGGGCGCGTGCACTCGCCAGACAGACAGAGAGAGACAGAGAGACAGAAAGCGTCACCCCCCCCCCCAGGGGGGATGGCCACGCCGCAATCCCTTCTCCTCCATTCTCCTCTCAGGATCTTGGGCACGCACGCACACGCACCCAGCATGAGTTTAAGCCACTGGGTCTGGGACTCAAACCGTGATCAACTACATGGGAGTCCAGCAACGTAGCCATTACGCTAACTGCTGGTCCCAAGTCTCATTCACTCTTGATGGCATTCCAGTTTGATAATCACTAACCTATCAAAAGATCTCTTTAAAAGGATATTGTGACTTCATGGTCTTTTGTCAACCTTAATTGTGCCTATGAGCAAGACTAGTGCAGCCCTCTTTTTAAGTACTTCCTCGTTTTTGCCCCTGGTATATTACACTCCCAAATTTCTTCCCACTTCACCATTTGTTCCCCCAAACCTTTGCCAATTCTTATTTGTCTTCCGACTGACACTATGGTGCCCCTGGACTCAGGCCCCAAACTTCACATCTGTGTTTACTCTCTAGGTCACCTTACCCAGTCTTTAAATATAGGCAATCTCTAATGATTCCAAATTCACATCTCTGGCTTAGACTAATCCCTGAAGGGAACCACAAACTCCTGTAGCCAACTCCACAAACTCCTGTAGTCGACTGCCTTCTTGACATCTCCCCTTAGATTTCTAGTAACCAATTTAAAAATTACCTACTTAAAACCTATGGATTAACCCAAAGCCTCCTCCTCCCACAGTCTTCCCTGTTTTAATAAATGTCATCTCTTTTAGTTCAGTCCTTCACCCACCCAACTTGGAATCGTCTGTTGCCTCTTTCATTCTTTTATATTCCATTCAGTAATTCAGCAAATCCTAGAAGCTTTACCTTCAAAATATCTCACCCTGACCCCTTCTTGTCACCTTCAGCAATACCACCCCAGTCCAAACCACTGTAATTGTTCGCCAGTACAATTGCAGTATGTCCCAAATGGTTTCTCTGCTTCCATCCTCCATTACAAGCTGTTATTTACATACACCACGTACACATAAGGGGGATAGTTTTAAGTTAAACTATGCCAACCTCTGCACAAAACTCTCCAACTCTTCTGTCTAACCCAGAGAAAAGTTCCAAATCCATAGTTGGGCCTTCTACATTGTATGGCTCCTTGTTCCTCCCTACCCTACCTGGTCCCACAAGCACCAAATGTCTCTATTGACCCTGGCTACTATGTTTTTCCTTAAGGATGTAGGATTCCCTGTGAGAACAAACCACAGACAGTGTAATAAAACATCTTTAAAGAACCTCAAAAGGAGGACTCTTGGGTCTTTGTAAACACAGCTAGAAGTATGAGGGGTATTCAGAAAGTTCATGAAAAATGCATGCTATGCATCATGAATGTCAAAAAAAAAAAATCTGCCCAAAATAAACTTGTACTTTGATTCCATTCTCCATGAACTTTTGAAGTCTCCTCATATACCACCCAGTTTATTAATAAAGGAGTATTTTTTGTAGTTATTTAGATGAATTTCAGTTTGCATGCTTTATGGCTACAGTTAATAATTACAAATCTGAGATGTTTTATTAAAATGAGCCATGTTCTTCCTAAGAAAACTTTCCCAGTTTGATAATGTTTTCATTCAGGAGACAAAACATGGAAATTAACTTGGGTCTAACTAATATTAGCATAATTGCATGTATAATTTTATAAATAGCGAATAATGTTATTGTAAGTAAGCTGCTTCTTAAACACTAATAACTTCATTTGAATACAAAATTCATTGTAAGAAGGTTGAATTTTTTTTCCTAGATTTGTTTAGTTCTCTTATTTACATATCATTAAATGTGTTTATTTTTTTCATTGCTAGATTAGTTTTGAAGGATTTAGTTTTCATTGCTCTTGTTTCTAATATGTACTCAAAAAAATATATTTAGGAGCACACAACAATTATTTGAGTAATGCCACTTTATAAAAGTCGATTTTGACAGAACTTGGAGTTTTTAGAATTATGCAAGCTAAACTACTTTTGTTCTATGAGCTGTATTCTATTCTCTGCCTCGTCTAAATTTCATGTATCTCCTTTTAATATCTGCCTTCCAGGTGGTTAACAAGCCTTATATAGATATATTAGATATTAAATATGGAGATATTAAATACCAAAACTGAAAGAAAAAAGCATGTAAATGTGAGCCTTCGGTTGACTTTAGAGAGATACACTGATTAACAGAAACATGCAGGGAACAAAGCTAGTGGGCAGTAAATCCCAGGTGATTACACTTCTTCAGTATGCTATGGGCCAAAGCATTACTGAATGTTTTCTCAAGCTCTGTAATTTCACGATTTTTAGTATAGACAGTAAATTTACAAGCATTTGTATTGAAAGACATGATTTTGCCCCTTCTGACCGAAAGCATATTTACTCTTCTCTATTGCATAAGTCTTCTATCCCTTTTCCCACGTCTTTTATTTATTAATTTCTGAAAAATCTGTATTTCATGTTTATTTTCAATTAACAATATATGGTTTCAAATGTTGAAAGATTCAAAATTGGTAAGTAACAAATTCGTGAATTCACAATGACATTCTAAAAGATCTAGGAAATGTCATTTTAAGTGGTAAAATCAATATGTATTTTGGTTCGTTGGGAAAGTACATAATGGCTATTTCTAGCATCTCCTCAGACTCTCTGTTTAACCAGTGTGTATTGTGATGCCTGGCCTGAAGCACTGCTATTTTTAGTTCTAATGGAACAGTCTTAAATTGCTTATTTTCTGTTTACTAAAGTCATCCCGTTTGTTACCATGGAAACTATGACAAGTGCTCTAGCTAACTATTTTATTAAATGAATGGAAGATACAGCTGAGACTGAGGATGCAGCATGCTGTTCTCAAAGCATGTTTTCCAATATCTGTAAAACTACAGCCATTTTATTGAAATATGAAACTGGTTATACATAAAGGGATCTACATTTCAATTGTGGTAGGCTATCCACATTTTAATATCTGAGTAATAACTAGTACACAGGCATCCCTGACTCATGAAGAGTCTATGTTCTGAAAGCATATTTGTAAATCAGTTCTTTAGAACTTAGAACACATTCATCTATAGAAACAATTTTACACAAAATTAGGTCTCCAGGCATGCCCTCAAAATCCCTTCCCTGTGTCATCCTCAATCTATAGCAATATCTTTGTTTTCAGCTCTCCCGTCAGGAGGCATAGTGCAGGGAGAAAGAAATCGAGTTTTCTCATACTTACTTTGTTTTTAATAGTCAGAGCTTGCGTAAGACACTGTTTTGGAATGCTAGCATCCTCTAACCTTTGCAGATGCTGGGACTCCCAACCACATTCATTAGCTATTTGCCAATATCCCTGTCCTCAGCTTCTAGGTGGCCTGGCACTTTCTCATATCTCTCTTTGAAGTTTCATGCCAGACCAACTTTGTTTCTTCCAACCCTCCTGTTTCTATATTGAATCTCTACTCTCCTCAAGATTCGAGAGGGACTCAGTTATTAAAATATATATATATATATATATATATATACACACACACACACACATATATATATATATTCAAAATATACACATGAAATTTTTGCATTTAAAAAATACAGTGCTTTTGAAGTCAAAACAAATCCCTAGCCTGTGACATTTCCATCACAATGACTGAAGAAAGTATTTAGTGGATAGGGATATGAGGAAACCAAACATTTTGAGGGAATATTAGAAGACAGCTCCGGGGACCAGCAGTTAGCATAACGGCTATGTCGTTGGACTCCCACGTAGTCGACTGCGGTTCGTGTCCTGGACCCGGTGGCTTAATCACGCCAGGAGCGTGTGTGTGTGTGCCCAAGATCCCAAGAGGAGAATGGAGGAGAAGGGATTGCGGCATGACCAATCCCCCCTGGGGGGTGATTTCTTGCTTTCTGTCTCTGTCTCTGTCTGTCTGGTGAGCACACATGCTCTATAGCAAAAAAATAAAATAAAATAAAACCATTCCAAAAAAAAAAGAAAAGAAAAAGACAGCTCCAGGGACCAGCAGATGGAGTAATGGTTACATTGCTGGACTCTGATGTATTTGACCACATTTTGAGCCCTGGAGCAGTGGTTTAAAATTCACACTGGGTGGGGACCAGCATTTAGCGTAATGGCTATGTCGCTGGACTCCCACGTAGTCGACCACGGTTTGTGTCCTGGACCGGATGACTTAAAACTCATGCCGGGTGCGTGTGCGTGCATGCCCAAGATCCCAGGAGGAGAATGGAGGAGAAGGGATCTCAGTGTGGCCATCCCCCCTGGGGGGTGATTTCTAGCTTTCTGTCTCTCTGTCTTTCTCTCTGTCTGGTGAGCACACGCGGCCTATAGCAAAAACCTCTTTAAAAAAAAATCACACTGGGTGTGTGTGCATGCATGCCCAAAATCCCAAGAGAAGAATGGAGGAGAAAGGATTGAGACATAGTCCTCCCCGCCCCCAAGGGGGTTATTTCTTGCTTTCGATCTCTCTGCTCTGTCTCTCCAGTAAGCACACACACCCTATAGCAAAAGTCTCTCTAAAACAATAAATAAAAGATAAATCAGCTCCAGTGGTCATTCAGAACAACAGTCCCCAACCTTCCTGATGCCAGGGACCATCCCGATAGAAGACAGCCCTTCCACAGAGGGGCAGTGGGATTGGTCCCAGGATGACCCAAGTGTGCCATATCTACCAAGCATCTCATTTCCTCCTGTACCACATTGCAGTGTACAATAAAACAGTCACCCAACAATAGGGTTCATGCTTCCATGGGAATCTAGCACCACCACTACTGTCAGGAGGTGGATCCCACGCAGCAATGCCAGCGATGGGGAGCCACTGTGAACAGATGAACCCTTGCCACTTGCCCATCAGCTCACCCCCTCAACAAACCCCTGTGGGGTGGTATCTGTCCGTGCCTGGCCCCAAAAGGCCATGGACCAACACCAATGTGTGACTGGAGGTTGGGGACCCCAGAGTTAGAAGTCATTTTAAAGTGAACTTCTCAACAATATTCTCTAAATCTTAGATATCAGGTTTTCTGTGGGAGGATGGATGGTGGTTACTGATTGTAAAGTGAGTCATTAATTTGCTTATTTAATATCTAGAAGATTCTAATAAAATATATTGAATTAGGCCTATAATTTTGCTCCTTGAAGAATAGCACTGACTTAGATGGGACCAGCAGTTAGCGTAATGGCTATGTCGCTGGTCTCCCACATAGTCAACCATGGTTCGCATCCCAGACCCGGTGGCTTAAACTCACGCTGGGTGCATGTGCATGCGTGCCCAAGATCCCGAGAGGAGAAAGGAGGAGAAGGGATTGCGGCGTGGCCATCCCCCCTGGGGGGATGATTTCTTGCTTTCTGTCTCTCTGTCTCTCTCTGTCTGTCTGGCGAGCACATGCGTCCTATAGCAAAAACCTCTAAAAAAAAAAAAAAGGAATAGCACTGACTTGGTTAAAGGGATTAAAATAACACAATTATATAGAATAAGTTCTAGACAAAATTTTGTTCTTTTTAATATAATATTGAAAAACAAAAACGTCCTTATAATCTGAGAATAGTAAGCTTTGCCCAAAAAAGGAAAGAATTATCAGAACATATGTAAGACAGAGTCAGTAATTTACTACTTTATGCCCAAAAAATTCAAGGAGGAAAACCACCCCACAATTTGCTTAGTGCTACAATAAAGATGACACAAATTAAATTATCTTCCTTGATTATATAGGTATATTTTATGTAGCTTCAGACTTAATGAAAATATGTAAGGACAGGCATAGAGTTTTTCCTAGGAATTTAAGGAATGTCTTTTTTAAAATATTTATATTAACTGTGATAGCAATGGATATGAAAGCAAATGGAGTTCAATGTTCTGCTTTCCTACAGTGCAGCAACCAAATTTGCCTATAAATACTTTATAGTAAAACTTATTCTGTTTAAGTAAATATGTATGGAATGAAATATAAAGTAAAATATCTTTTTTTTTAATTTTAATGATCATTTTTTTAAAATAGAAAATTCTATAGAGAGTGTTTCAATTACTGATATCCCTGGGCTAGCACATGTCTTTCACTGAGGTCAAAGTGGTTGGATCCAATGTAGCTGACTGTACAGCTCAATCTCAGTCCCTATGGCTTAAAAATCACAATGGGTGCATGTACACGTGTGCCCAAAATCCCAACAGGAGACTGGAAGAGAAGGGATTGCAGCATGACCTTTCCCTCAAGGGGGTCGGGGGGAGGGGGGCTGGTGATTTCTCACTTCCCTTTCCCGCTCTTTCTCTGTCTCTGTTTCCAATCAGCACCATGTGCTCTATAGGAAAAAAAAAATCAAATACTGATAGTTCAAAATTAAAAGCATATTATTAATCTAACACTCATTTTTCATCTCCTTAGGGTCTACTTTCATTTGTAACACACACGTAATTCCAGTAAAAAACCAAGAGGGTGTGGCCATGATGTTCATCATTAATTTTGAATATGTGACGGATGAGGAAAATGCTGCCTCCCCAGAGAGGGTAAACCCAATATTACCAGTCAAAACTGTAAACCGTAAGTAAAAGGCAACCTGTACACAATGCTCTTCATATTCTGCTGCTATAGTAATTTTAATGCAGTCTTTATTTTGACTCAGACATTAAAATACATTTATGCTTGCAGTAAGATCATGTTATATAAGAAAGTCGATGTTACCTTTTGGTACCTTACAAAATTTATCAGCTGTTTTGGGAGTCATTTGACTTAGATATACTATAGTTTATTTAACCAGTCCTCTCCTGATGAACAGTTAGATTGTCTCCAAACTTCTACTTTTACAAACAATGCCAGAATGAATTGTTCATGTGTGCCTTCATATACGCATACATATATTCTTGGACAAGAGTGTCATCTGGGTCCCATAATGTAAGGGCAGAGTTACTGGGTTAAAGGCTAAATGTATATATAATATGTATCTTTTCAGTTGCTGCCAAATTCCCCTCCATATGATGTGAACCATTTTATATGACCATCAACAAAGTATTAACCCCAAAGTCATGCCAACAGAATGAGTCAGTCAGTTTTTTGCAGTTCTTGTTATTATAAGTTAAAGGTAGCACCTTAAGTAGTTTTAGTTTGTATTTTTGTATTTCTCTTACTATGAGTGAGATTCACATACTTAAGTACTGCAAATATTTCTTTTTCTGTCTACTGTTCTTTTTTTTTTTTCTTTCAGTTTTTTGCCATAGTGTGCATGTGCTTGCTGGAGAAGACAGAGAGAAGGAAAGTGAAAAATCATCTCACAGGAGGATGGCCATGCCACAATCCTATCTCCCCTCCATTCTCTACATTCTCCTCTTGGGATTTTAGGCATGCACACATATGTGCTCAATATGATTTTCAAGTAACCAGGTCCCTTCGTCCATGTGGGAGTCTATTGCCTTAATCACCCAGCCATCGGCTGGGTCTCAACTATTTATTTCTTATATACATTATCTATTGACTCTTTTCCCCTTTCTTGTCCATTTGTAAAATATAAGTTGCAAATAACTTTCCTAGAAAACAATGTCTTTGAATCTTTTCATGATTTTTGCTATGCAAATTTTTGGTAATAAGTCTAGATTTGTAACTCATTGCAGCTGAATATTTTATTCTTATATAGAAAAGCTTTTGGGCTAGCTGATGCTATGATGGTTAAAGCTACTGAATCCCACATAGCTGACCACTCAGTTCAAGTCCCAACCTGACAGCTTGAAAAACATTCTCTGTGTTTGCATATGTACCAAAAATCCCGACATGAGACTGGAGTATTCTACATTTTTCATCATTTGTCTACTTTGCTTTTTGGCATTTAAGTTTTCTTTTGTTGTTGCTGCTAATACAAACTGGATTGTCACTCATTATATCTTCAGATCAACTTTGTGTATGTAAAGAAAAATGATTTTTCTGAATATGTTAACTATAGCCCCTATATTTGATGAGTTATTTTAGTTTGCAGAGACATAGCCATTGACTCTCATGGCTTTTTCAAGCATTCTATTATGTAAAATGAAGATCATCTGACATTTTCCCCCAAATATTATAATCTAATAGCTTTCTGTTGTCTAAACGTGCTCACTTTTACCACCAATGAATCAATAAGAAGAAGTTAGTGGGGAAAATTGTGCCTTGTTCCTGACTTTTGTTTGAATGCTGCCAATGTTCTTCCATTAATTAAAATATAATAGCATTTAAGTTGTATGTTTTATAATTTTAAGTAATACTTTTTCTAATTTCCAGATGTGTGTGCTTCATAGAGAGAGATAGACAGAGAGGGAGAGAGGGGAAAAATCTCCCACTTATTACTATAAAATCCCTTCTCCTCAATTTCTCCATCCTGTAAGGATTGGAGTGCAAATGCACATATGCCTGGGGCCAAGATTCAAACCACAGTCTGCCATGAGGCTCTGTCCCTCTTAAATATTCGGCTAGAAGTCAGTCCAAGAAATTCTTATATTTATTTAGAATGGGTTCTGCCCTTATGGATAAAGACATATATAGACTAAAAGTGAAGGGTTGGAAAAATATATTCCATGCAAACAGAAAACAAATAAGGGCTGGAGTCACAATACTGATTTTGGACAAAATAGGCTTTAAGACAAAAACTGTGAAAAGAGACAAAGAAGGACATTATATAGTAGTAAAAGTGCTAATTCAACAAGAAGACATAATGCTAATAAATATCTATGCACCCAACTCAGGAGCACCTAAATACATGAAGGAAAGACTGCTGGAGCTAAAAGGATAGGTTGCAGCACTATAATTGTTGGGGGGGGTCCAACACCCCATATTTCCTTCAGATAGATCTTCTAGACCAAAAAATACACAGAGAGATACAGGACCTAAACGATAATATAACTCAAATGGACTTGACAGATATCTATAGAACTTTCTACCTTAAGACTACAAAATATACATTTTTCTCACCCCTGCATGGAACCTTTTCAAATATTGACCATATGATAAGACATAAATCAAGCCTTTACAGTTTCAAAGGCATAGAAACTATATATAGCATCTTCTCGATGATGGAATTAAACTTGATATTAATTTCAGGAAAACATCCTCAAAAATACACAAACACATAGAAACTGAGCAACCTACTTCTAAATGACTTCCCAGTTACCAAAAAAATTAACTCTGAAATCCAAATATTTATGGAAATAAATGATAATGAATACACGAGTTTCCATAATTGATGCGACATGGCAAAAGCAGTCATAAAAGAGAAATTCATAACAATTAGTGTGCGTAAGAAAAAGATAGAAAGGTGGCAAATAGACAATCTAACGTCATGCCTCAGGGAAAAACAACAACAAAAATCGCAACAAAATGCGAGGGAAAGAAATAATAAAGATTCAAGCAGAAATAAATGAAATAGAAAATAAACGAACTATGCAGAAAATAAATGAAAGCAAAAGCTGGTTCTTTGAAAAGATTAACAAGATCAATACACCGTTAGCTAGTCTGATTAAGAAGAAGAAAGCTAGTCTGATTAAGAAGAAGAAAGAAAGAAAGAAAGAAAGAAAGAAAGAAAGAAAGAAAGAAAGAAAGAAAGAAAGAAAGAAAGAAAGAAAAAAGAAGG